AAAATATCTACCCGTAACGCAACCATAGCCTGTAGCGTTCTAACGCGGAACGCCTCTCCGTTATATTACGCCCAGGGGTGTCGATTTTTCAAAATGGTTGGGGGTGCTCAACCCCTGCACCGGGTGAAAGATTGCATCTTTGCCATGGGGCACAACCGTATAGGGTTGGTTATCCCCATAAGGTACTGAATACTGATAATGCCGAGATTTCCACTAATATTTCCTTAGGGCAGAACGTTCTTCTTGAAAATCATTCCGCTCACCCAAGTACTTGGCTACCTTATTACATAAACATCTTTCCGAAAAAAGTCGTATATTTGCCGGCAGTATGGCAGCAGCCCCGGCACCTCTGTTAAAAGGTGACAGAAACCGATGACGGCAATTAGCACCGGTGCAGCAGTCGCTGCGGTCCGCAGGGGCGGACATTGCGCGGAGACAACGGTAGCTACGATGCTCTGGCAGTAATTAGACGATCACAATAATCGCTGAAAAAATGAAAGGTAATCGCATTTGGATATTTACAGGTTTACGATTTTCCTCAGTGGCGTAGCCAGGTGGGCCCGTGAGGCACGTGCCCCCCCCCCCATCAGGTTCAGGGTCCCCTCGGGTTATTCGGGCCTGAGGGGCCCTGCGGCGCCAATTGGCCGATAAGGGTCCATGTTGACCATATTTGGACTCAGAAGGGCCCCACAGGGCTCGTAAAAAACACCTCATGGGCCCACAAGTATCAACAATAAGATCTCCATAAGGGCCCAAGCCAGCCTCTGAGGGCCCCTTACCGGCCTCGGAGGGCCACTTGCCGGACTCTGGGGGTCCTAACCGGCCTATTCCCAGCCAGCAAATTTGGCCTTGGCCGTAGCTGGTTTTACTCTGGATAGCTCAGGCATTTGCTCCGGCTAAAGTACGGGCAAGGTCTGGGGCTCTACTGGAGCTGACACGATCCCGGAGCTCGCCCGCACCACAGCCGGACTTATGCCGCATCAGCCGTGCCGTACCTCCACCGTACTTCAGCCACAGTAAGCCAGAGCAGCTATGAGGCAGCCGGACTGGTCGTAAGGGAGCCGGACTTGAGCCGTGGCAGGGAGCCGGACTTGAGCCAGACTTGGCGGTCCGGAACCATACCAACCCGGGAGCGCTACGGCTAAGACTGGCTAACCGGAATAGAGCCGTATCGACCCAAACCCCGGCTCTGACGGCGTACCTTTTATACCGGCCCGAGTCTGGCATGTCGGAGTTGCCGGGGCAAAACGGACTTGCGCCGAACCAAATTGCTGGCTGGGTTAGGGGGCTCTGGGAGCTCTCTGGGAGCTCCACACCCGCCTGTAATAGCCCCACAGCTATTTCTCTGAGGGCCCCTATAACGGCGACTGTGAGGGCCCTCACCGGCGCCTCTGAGCGCCACACCGGCGTCTCTGAGGGCCCCACACCCCTAACTCTGAGGCCCCACACCAATGCATTTAAAAACCCCACATGGGCGGTTCTGAGGGCCCTTGTCAGTTATCAGCGACCCTGACGGTCCCACACAGGTGACTCGGAGGGTCCCAGCGGCGTCTGAGAGCGCCATGCCGGTCTCTGAGAACCCCACAAGGCTCCTGATGGCACCGGTGACCTCTTGATATCTTCTTGTCGGCCTATGAAGGATCCGTTCCGTAACAGCAGTTCTGAGGGCCACACGCGCGCCTGTGATGGCCCTAAACCAGTGTCTCTGAGAGCCCCCACAACGGCGCCTGTGAGGGCCATACATTGCCATATCTGAGGGCCCACACTAGTGCCTCTTAAGGCCCTATATCGGCGGCTTTGAAGGCCCAACATCGTCGCTTCTGAAGGCCCCACAAGTGCACATGTGATGGCCACCCACCGGTGACATTTGAAGGCCCCACACTGGCGACTCTGAGGGCCCCATCGGCATCTGAGCCCGTGCCGGTCTCTAGAGACGACCCCACAGGGTTTCTGAAGGTACCACCGGCCTCTGATTGCACTTTGCCGGCCTCTGAGGGCCCGTCGCCGGTCTCTGGAGCCCCCTGCCGGCTTGTAAAGGGTACACGCCATCAGCTCTAAGGGTCCGACACCCGTCTACGACGGACCCACACCAGTGTCTTTGCAACTTAACGTCTTTTTACGCCCTTCTTCTTAACCCGCGCCCTGCGGGGGGGGTGTGTGTTTGAACCCCCCCCCCCTTGAGGTTTTTCGCAAATATCTCAAAAACGGCGGCGCGGAGCGCCGCCGTTTTTGGTACACCTTATCATACATCAATTCTACACATGTTGTGAAAATTTCAGACCAAGGTCTTTCAAGGTCAGGTCACCAGGTCACTTGAAGTGACCTCACCTCATAAAAAGTTTCAATGTCTGTCATAGCTACACCGAGTGACCGATCGCTTTGAAACTTTCAGCGATTGCTAAGAGCAATAGCATGTACAAAATGTATATCTCAGAATTTTGATATCGATGACCTAAGGTCAGGTCAATTTTGCGACCTCCCCATTATAACCCGCGCCCTGGTGGGGTCTGTTTATAACGCGACCTGGTGGGGGGGGGGGGGCTATTTTTTGCCCCCCCCCCCCCTCGTATCTCCGAAACTACTGGACGGATCCGCAAAATTCAAACGGCGTTCGAAAGGCCTGTCAAATTTGTCGAAGGAAACCAAATTTCATTGACCTCGGGGTCACCGATGACGTCACAGGTCAGGTCAAAGATGAAATGTTTCACCGTTCACGGGTCTTCTAGGGAATGCAATATAACACCGAGGAAAACGCATTTTGTCGAGAATCAGCGGTAGGGCGTCAGTTGCCTAGTAGATATGTTGCTATTAGAGGTCACTGGCAATACCAGGTCAGGTCACAGGTCATGTCACCAAGGGTCACAGGTCAGGTCACATGAGCCCAAGTTTACTAAGGTTGTGTGATACATGTTTTATGGCCAATTTTTCATTTCCAACTCAATGGTGTTGGTTATACGACTATCAGGTACGGCTTAGGTCACTTTCTGGTGAAGTTCAGGTCAAGGTCAGGTCAAGGTCAGGCCAAAAAAGGTCAAATTTCAAAGTTGATAGTTTTGCATAAAATGGGTATTGATTCGATGCAGCTCGTCACGGGGAGTCTAATGGTGGTCTTTGTTTTGCGCTACGGGGTCTAAAATTGCTAAAAATTGAGTTTGAAAATTTGACGTCATCAATTTTGAACAGTTTTTTTCGCTATAACTTCGCCAAAAAAAGAGGTATCAATCTCAAATTTGGTATGTGGATGGAAGGCGGTAAGGACTATCACATATATTCCGGTTTTTGCGAAATTCAAAAAACTTTTTGGATTTTTCGATTCTTATATCCAAAAAATCTATTTTTTGATTTTTGGGGGTCCAAATCCAAAAATTTCAAAAATCCGAGATAGCAGTTTTGTAGCCCTGTCCAATCTACAGCTTTTATGTCTTTATCTTTTTTCTGTATTTGCAAAGCTATGGGCCTGACAGCTCTTCCCGCGAAACCCTTTTTTGGGTCGAAAACGGCAGAACATGACGTCACTCTGACGTCATTTCCGGCCAACCTATCATAGCCTTTGGAAAAATTTTTGGTCACAATGTGTAAAATTGATGTCCGGGAGGGTACTGAAAGTTTGGTGACGATCGGCGCAGCGGTTCTGTAGATATATCGAAAAGTCTGGAGGGGGGGCAAAAAATAGCCCCCCCCACCAGGGCGCGGGATAAGTCAATGGGAGAAAATTGAAATGCGCCTCTTTTGGACGAAAGACATTATAAACACTCCCAAACACCGAATTACAAGTGGTTTAGACACACTGAACATGAAAATGGTGTCTGTGACCCTTGTTTATGCCCTGAGGTCATCCTAGGTCACGAATGGTATGTAACAGTTTTTCGCAAATAACTTTTGATGGAGGCATGCTAGAGCAATGAAAACGCCTTAGATGTGTTCAGCTCGACGATACGGATCGACTGATATGCAACATGACCCTTTCCGGTCAGGTCATGACCTTGACCTGAGGTCAAATTTTCAAGTTGACCTTTCAAGGTCAAGTTATAGTTCATTCGATGCGTCTTGACGAGAGGAACACGATGCCGGTAAAAGTAAGCTCGTACAAGGCTTGGGTCAAAAGTTATTGCAGAAAAACTGTTTCCGAAAAAATCGGCTATTTTTGCAGTTTTTGCCCCCTGCAGGCAAAACCGTTGACGTTAGGTCAAATCTGAGAGAATTACTCAGAAAGGGCGTTGATAGGGCTATCGAATGCGCTTTTCCGCGGCGCTGTAGCTCTATTGACTCCCGAGTTATGCGTTGGCTTCTTGGAAATTTTCGACATTCGACCTGGAAATCGGCGAAATTTTGCCTTCAATGACCTCTGGTGACCTGACCTTTGACCTGACCAAAAAATTGACCGAAGTGATTTCCTCATTATTTTTGACGCTCTTTCGAACGCCGCCTTCTGGGTATCGCTACGTGGCCCAGGAGCCGAGTTACAAGGGGGGTGTTCAAACACCCCCCCAGCAGGGCGTGGAAATCCAGGACCCCCAGCCGGGCGCGGTTAAGACTAACTTTTACTTTCTTTACATCTTTACTTCATGCATTGTAAATTGCGTAATTGTTTTATTTTTAGTAGTGAAAGACTGCGGAACCAATTATTTTCCTCAAGCAGAGTTAGTGGGAGTTTTTGAGGGACCAAATCATTGGGGATGCTAAACTGGAACATTTGGGGGTGCCCGGAAAACCATTGGGGGTGCTCATTTGAGCATTGGGGGTGCTGCAGCACCCCCAAAGGTATACAAATCGACACCCATGATTACGCCTCTCGTTATACAACGCCTCTTGCTATATAACGCCTCTCTCCGTTGCCCGTTACGTTCTAACGCCTCTCCGTTATATTACGCCTCTCTCAATATATGGCGCCCCTCTCCGTTATATACGTATTATGCGTTCGCCCGCTGCGTCCTCAATCCACGGAGCCGGCTTGCCTCCGATGACGTCAGCTGCCGGCCGGCAGCGTTCAAGGTCAAACAGCTGGTGTCCTTGCCTGGACTTCTAAATTCTATAACCTTGACTTTTTCCCGTTTTTCCTTCCCATGGTAGCGGGAGGAGGTACCATTTTTCAGTTTTAAGATATGTTTAAGGTAAGAAAGCGAGTAATTGTGGGTTAATTTATTCACTCTTGTGCCGGTTAAATCTTTGATATGGTGATCTGTCACTAGAACACGTGCAAATTATGACAAACACTTCTTGTCATGCGTCGTAAATGTCACAGAGGCGCTGTATGTTTATGGCTTGCTCAGGTGTACAGACCAAATGCATACAATATTTTTAGTGTTAATTAGCATAAGACGCGGAAACACCAAGGACCTGGTGAACTCGACCTTTGGCACACTAGGCTCAAATTTGAATAAAAACCACACCATATCAGTAGGCGGAACTATGGTCATGAGTACCCAAATATAGGAACGTTCCCATTTTTGGGAACGGAGTTCCCAAATATGGGAACGGGCGTTCCCATTTATGAGAACGGAAGGCAATTTTTCGGCCGTTTGCCCACTAAAACTCAAAAGTGCATCACGTCTCAAAAAAGTGCACGCTGATTTAAGTATCTACTAAATCTCCATAAAGTTATCTTTAATCTGACCGTGGAACAAGGAAATTGACCGTGGAATGATATTTTTAATGATTTTTTAAAAATGACAGAATGGTGGAAATATGGGTTATACGACATTTAACATGCAATTTTAAGGAAAATGAAGCACTTTTTACATTTTGAGGTCAAGTATAATAATTTTCGCCTGGTTATGAAGTTTCATTCTAGCGACACCAGATGCTGACATATGCAAGCGAACACGCGGACAGTCCCGAGGTAATATTGTTGACTTTTGGTGTCGGGGCGATCGACCGCGTGGAACGTCAGTGATTTTACCGAACTACTGTTGTAAACTCAGTTTCAGTGGTTTAAATTCATTCAGCTGTATTTTATCAGCCCTGAAAGACATATTTTATTTGGATGCTAGCTGATTAGCGTTGTTTTATAAGCAGCGTCATGAGCGTGGTTTTTGTCTTCGGCGTTTCTAAGCATGATCGTTTGGGGGGAATTTCTCTGATATAGGTCGCTCTGTGTGGCTTATTTATAATTTTTATGCTGATTTCGATCATACCTCGTGCCCATCCTACCAGGCCTTTTGCCACTTACACTCATTAAGAAAGGAAAAAACTAGATTTTCATTGGGACTAGGTGTTTTGAGGGTGTACCATATTCAGCGTTCCCATTTTTGGATACTTCTTGTGCTCGTCAACTCTCGGTGATTAGCAGACAGGTGCTTGACATGTCTCCACCCTCGGCGCGGACGATGGATATAGGTATGGAAGACCTTGTTGAACATCGCTGAGCGTTGTGGATTACGTAATCCTACAGAGGGGGGCGTGCCCGCTGCGAGATCGACGGGAATAAAAGCGCAGAAGACCGGGCGAAACATGCAACGGTCTTGCCGGAAAGGTCATCTGATGATTGTTGCGTTAACAATAATTTGCGGCGTTGGACGTGATGCTTGTTAATGAAAAGAGCCCCTGAAAGGCGTCGGTGAAATCGTTCCCAATTTTGGGTACGCCGTTCCCATAATAAGGAACGCTTGCAGCGCCAGTGTATGAGAGCGTTCCCAAATTTGGGCTCGCGGCCCGGGTGATGGACTGCTTTAGAAATAGGGGAACGATTTGAAACTACGATGGGCCTTACAATATCAAACTCTTTCCCAACAATATTGAGACAACTATCAGGCGGTTCACGATCGTTTTATATTTTTTGGACGTCATTTAACAGTTCTTTTTCTTGTTTTAAATAATGCCTACATGGCGTTCCCATATTTGGGTTTATCGTTCCCAAACATGGGAACGAAAATGCGTTCCCGAAAATGGGTACGCTTGACCATAGTTCCGCCTACTGATATGATATTGTCACAAACCACATAGGTAGGTATCAGAGGTATTTATTTACTTAAGGTCCGCAAAACAGACGGGTAAATAAAAACGTGACCTTACCTTACCTACAAACAACCTTATCCTGACCCTTAAACCTAAAACCTACAACCAAACCTACGGCACCTCTCGATAGTCACAAAGCAATCGTTACACTTTTTGCAACCAAGGAGAGGCGCTATACCCAGATGAGATCCTTTCTAATCAAACCAAACCTGACCTAACCGGAATACTTCACCCATGCCTAACCCTACCTACAACCTACGTCCTACAACCCAAAACTCCTAAAACCTACATCAACATTGATGTAAGATAGCACTGTTTTGAGGCTCATGATTAGAAATATAAATGTGGATCAAACCTAAGCCTCATGCTAAAGCTATTTATGAAAAGGCCAAATTTACAAAAGGCTTAGTTTTTTAATCAAATTTATATTTTTAAAACTACAACCTACAACCAAACCTGCAGCGACTCTACTTGGTTGCAAAAACCAGTGTGATGCCTGCTTTACTACTAAGTACTACCTGCCTCTCTTGGTTGCAAAAAACAAGTGTGATGCCTGCTTCACTACTACCCAATGTTATAGATTTTGCCTATTGACCTTCAGTTGAATCTAAGGTAGTTACTTACCTATTCAACAAGTGTGTCAATAGGGCTATCAAATGTGCTTTTCTGGGGTGCTTTGGCACTATTCATTTCAAGTTAGCTGCTGGTTTGTGGAAAATTGTTGAAATAGACAATTTACCTTTTGATTAGGTACCTCTGGTTACCTGACATGTGACCTGACCTAAAAAATGATAGAAATAAGTTTGTCACTTTTTTACGCTTTTTCAACCATTGCCACCGCATGTCGCTACATGGCCCAGGAGCTAAGTCATAAAGGGAGGGGGTCTTGAGTCTCGCCCCCAACAGGACATGGAAGTCCAGGAGCCCCAACGGCCTCTCCTTGGTCCTCAGTCTGTGGTGTGTAGAAGCTCTTCATTTGATCAAACTCACATCACCCAATGGATTCCCTGCGCTTAGCGCAAACAGATGCAGTGACTTCTGTCCGCTCCAGGTTTCATTTTTTTCAGCGTCTGATTGACTCCGTCACTCGTGGTGGTATGACCTGGCTGTCGGTCTCGGCAGGGTCTGGTCGGCCTGGTGACGGGCGGCGCGTCCGGCCTGGGCCGCGCCACCGTCGAGCGGCTGGTGCGCGAGGGCAGTCGGGTGGTAATCTGTGACCTGCCCGGATCGGCCGGCGCCGACCTGGCCGCCGGCCTCGGAGACAACGCCGTCTTCGTCCCCACCGACGTGAGTCCGGCAGTTATCCTGGCTGGGTGGCATAATGACTGGAATGGGAAGGGAATGGCGACACTTCTGGCAGACAAAGTTTCTTGTCCCTTACTTTACTCATTGAGTATTGGAATGACATGATTTCAGGCTGAATATGATCTTTATTTGCAAACAAGTATCAATAGAAAACGTGTCAGAGCGCATTGTCTTTTTAGCTCTCTTTATTTTCAGGATGATTTTAGACACAAACCTGCTGATCATAAAACATTTTCTGTTTTTGAAATTGACTTAATTGGTAAAATAACCCCTAAACTTAATGCTATGTCACTCAGCATGTAATATAGATCACCATCCACCATTAATTATGCTGTTTTATTTTGAATAACTGATCTGTTTTTTTTTTTTGGTTCATTTAGCATGGTTACTGTTGTTTTCAGGTGGTGTCGGAAAATGACGTTCAGACAGCCGTCAGCACCGCCAAGGATAGGTTTGGCAAACTGGACGTCACCGTCAACTGCGCTGGCATCGGCGTTGCTTTCAAGACATACAACTTTAAGAAGAATCAGCCACATCTACTAGAGGACTTCACCAAAGTATTGATGGTAAGTTTAACATTGAAACAACATTTGGCAAACATAGGTGTTATTGGTACACTTGCCGTATTTGGGTGGAGCCCGCGGCGTATTTGTGCGGTCCTAGCCGGCCTTTCTGCTCCCTGACCGTTGACCTCCTCCGGCCAGGTGAACGCGGTGGGCACCTTCAACGTGATCCGTCTGGCGGTCGGTGTGATGGGCGCCAACGCGGCCGACGAGGCGGACGGCCAGCGCGGCGTCATCATCAACACGGCCTCGGTGGCCGCCTTCGACGGCCAGATCGGCCAGGCCGCCTACTCGGCCAGCAAGGGCGCCATCGTCGGCATGACGCTGCCCATCGCGCGCGACCTGGCGCCACAGGGCATCCGCGTGGTCACCATCGCGCCAGGTGGGTGCCGAGGGCAGGGAGCGTCTCTGGCCGTTCCGCACGGACGGCGGAGCCAGGGCTGCTCGGGTTGGTCTCGTATTCAATCCCCTGCAAATCATCCCGTCTTTCTCTGAATCGTTACATTCGTTTGGTTTATATCCCCGCGTTAGCGACACGCATCGGTTTCTACGCGGATATGTCGGTTCTTTCGAACGCTTTTTGCTGTCATCAACATGATGCACAATTTTGATAGATAATGTGGGTCTTGCTATATTCAAATAACATCCTCTGACGACTATCGTTAACGTAACTTACGGATCCACGGAATATCCACCATCTGGGGGCGCCACCTACTGTTGCGGTAACACCTCCTCGCCGGTGGAAACGGTGCTGTCTGTGTCTGACACTGCTGCGCGAGGGCGGTTTCCTATGACGTTGTTACTGTCTATCTATTCAGGTCTGTTCCTGACGCCGCTCCTGAAGGTTGGTTTCCTAACCTTCTGGCTCTCTGTTCCAGGTCTGTTCCTGACGCCGCTGCTCGAGGGCCTGCCGCCGAAGGTGCAGACAGCGCTGGCGCAGACGGTGCCCTTCCCGAAGCGGCTCGGCCGGCCCGAGGAGTACGCCCAGATGGTCTGCAGCATCATCGAGAACCGCATGCTGAACGCCGAGGTCATCCGGCTCGACGGCGGCATCCGGATGCAGGCCTGAGGCGCGCCGGATATAGGAGACGACGTAACGGGCTATGCCGGCCTCGGAAGGACAGAACTAGGTATCGTTCCTTGGGCTGGGATATTCAGTGTGAGTGTCGACGATGTTAGAGGGAGGCGCCACTGATCAGGGATCGCCACTGCCAGTGAGCTACCCATCGTCTTTGGTAAAAATGACGTCATGCCTTGCGGTTACAATGCTCATATTCTGGGACATTTTGACGTGTTTTGGTGACACTCTGGCCGCTAGATTCCGTGTTTGCTGTTGTGGCCGAGATAAAGTGAAACAATTCGTGTGGTGCTCGGTTTTCGTGTACTCATTTTGACTGAAAATAGGTGAACAACATGTGCAATATACAAACCTTGCTATCAAGTCATTTCGATTGAAAAACCCACGGTAAAGTTACGAGATGCGTAAAACGAAATGTTAATCTGGGATTCTTGATATCATCGACCCAGCATATGTTCAATTTGTGACCCCGGCCATTGGAACATCGTAGATATCGCTATGAGTAGTTTTTTTTAAATAAAAGTCATCTATGACCACTTATTATACCTATTACCTACCTTTGACACAACGTCTTGGTCTTGTACACTATGTATTGCAATAATTGGATTGTTACAGGCATAATTGAGTGATGACGTTAGATGCGTTTAGCTCAACAATACTTTAAACGGATGTTTGGCGTTCTTTTCTCCGTCAGGTGACGGCCTTGACCTTAGGTCGCATTTTCGGGAGCTCAACATGGGCACAAATCCGATCTGCAACATAGATCATCCATTGACGAAAAGCTTTCTGCCGAAAAACACTTAGCTAAGCAACCAAGTTACGAACTAGCGATGCCAACATTAGGATGGTGGCCACAGGCCACGGAGCTGTGCAAACACTGATTATAATATATTTATTATTATAATCATGTCATTTACAGCTGCAGACACTAGAAGGCTTCGACTCTACATAGTGGCTAGTATCAACTCTTGGCTTCACAATCTAATGTCAAAACGAGCATGTCGGTCCCTTCCGCTTTGACCGCTGTGGCCACCAGTCATCCTTGGCACCTTTTGCCAGCGTCTGTTGAAGGAAGAACTAAAGCGTGAGCTGCACTCTGCAGGAAACCTGAACTGGCAGACGGGCAGGACATATAGTATCGTATCGCCGCTTCGTGACCTTGCCGCGGGCGGTGGGTAAAACGTCAGGAGCCGGCTGACGGGTCCCACTCGAGCGGCGGCGGCGGACTGCGGCGGACCGGGCTCCTGGTACCACCGGCGGACCGACCATGGGTACTGCACGCGCACCGCTGCTGCTGCTGCTGGCGCTGTGTGCCGGCCCGGCGTCAGCCGCGCTCGGCGGCGGCGAGAAGCCGCTCGACTTCCTGTTCAGCCGCTGCGAGAGTCCCAAATGGGACGACGGCATCGGCGGCTGTCTGCGCGACCACCTGCGTGTGCTGCTGGAGATCCTGCGGCCGTTCATCACGGATGGCTTCGGCGCCGGCCGGGACAGGGTGGTGCTGGACCCGCTCTCCATCGAGGACATCGAGGACCCGCTGAACGAGCGGCCGCGCTGGCGGCTGACGGGGGTGCGCGCTACCGGCCTGCGCAACATCACGCTCGAGGAGTTCTCCATGACCAAGAGCATGATCGAGGTGAAGATCAACATCCCCGAGGTGCGGATGGAGGCCGGCGTGGTGCTGGACTTCCTGCCGTTCGTCATCTCGGTGCGCCAGGAGGTGCTGAAGATGCGCCTCATCCTGATCGCCTACTGGAGGGCGCACGACGGCGAGGTGACCTTCGACGACATCGTGGGCCAGTTCTGGAGCGAGGGGCACAGCACCACCCTGCGCGGCCTGGCCGGCGGGCCGGAGCTGCCCACCTGGGAGCCTAACTTCGGACTCTCCGGCTACATCAAGGGAAAGAAGGAGAGGGGCGAGGGAGTGTCAGGCTTCTTCAAGAAAAAAGGTGGCTTCTTCAAGTGGTTGTTCGAAGGAACTGCAGTATGACGATATTGACCGCAACTGGATGAATAACATTGTCATCCATCTTCCATTAGATATTGTTTGCGTCATGCCTTTGTGTTTTTTCATACGTTTGTTTATTTATTTCCATGAATTTTGTCTTCTCAGGTCTAGTCTTTTATTCATATATTGTTTATTGAATTGACCATTTATCGTTGGTAATATATTGCATTGCTTATTCTGTGTATAATTCTGTATCGTGCTCAATAAACCTAACGGACAATGCCGACCACTGCTGAAGAAGGAGGTTGTAACTCACATTATATCACTGTAACCGGCAACTGCACCTCACAAAGCTCACATTATCTGCATCCATCGTTACACAGGACAGGAAGCTGCTTGCAGGAGGCCATGCCGCGTATAATTCGGTTCGGAATGTCTTTCTAAGGCCATTGGTGGTTTTCTCGACTCACTAGCTCAATCGGGAGTCATTTACAAAAAGAAAACTCCGATGACCTCAGTTTCGCCAGCCCATTCTTTCTACATATGTTGTGCAATGCATTCTTGTCGAAAGGAATCAAATGAAATGACCCCCTGCCAATTTCTTTTGGTAAATTTCTGGTAATGCCCGGTAATTGCTCGAACTTTGCAGGGTGCACGGAAGTGCCCCACCCCTTGCACGACAGTGTCCCACCCCTTACACGAAAGTGCCCCATATAAGGTGGGGTAGTTTCGTGCAAACGTTCAGAGTTAATAAAAGTCATTTCTTCTAATAGAAGCTATAGTTTTAGAGGATAACTTCTGAAGAGGAAAAATGTCTGCAATAGTTCCTTTCCATACTACAATAAACAATTTTGCCGTTGCACTAACCAAAGAACAGATATATGGATTTATCCATTGTTTGCACAAATGTGCCCCACTCTCCCCTACGATATACAAGCTGCGAGGACCTAACTACTTGTAAAGTAAAAACGTCCTGTACTGTACGTCTCATCTCCCTGCGAAAGATTCCCTGGCACGGAGGGGCGAGGGCGTTATGACGTTACGGACTTTATTGGACCGTGCCAAACATGAACGGAGGTTTATATATAGAGGTCATAAGTATTTGGCCTAGTATGAACTAAAATACGGTTGGTGTCACAAGACCTTATTTGAATCAAAGGTCACGTACAAATCTCAACCTACATGCCTATCTCGGATTTGTAATAGGGCGCATGAGGTCAGGTCGGTCACGTGGTCTCACGATTAGGTAGGCATAAGGCAATACTAAAACATGGAAAGTGTCATTATTGCGTCGGACATGGTCAGCTTTCAGCTATGTTGCCAACTCGGTTCGAGCTGTCGCAAAGAAGTTAGCGGGTGACACTACCTTAAGTCAGCATATCAAACATGCTCACCGTTCCTTGGATTTGCCCGATCAAAATAGTCTATGAAGTGGTCTTCACCCGCCCAAAACAGGATAGCTGATCCTATTAGGTAAGTGTAAAAGAATGACTATAGAGGAAGGTGACTGTGATAGGTAAGTCCTAGGATGAAAAAGAGCACATGAACGGTCATGGGCAGCTGAACGCCAGGGAACTGTGAACAGCGTGACCAGTACGGCCGTGACGGAGGAAAGGCGTGCGTGAAACGTGAGCGGGTAAAACCTGACGCCACCCAGGGAGGATCAGGCGAAATCCATCCATAAATTAGCTGCAGCCGTGTCACTAGGTGTTCGAATCGTTCCCACAATGATCACATTGCGTGCTGGTTTCCCTGGACAAACCCATGAATGTTCCATGCGGTGTGCGACAAAGAAGACCTATCAACGCATTAAACACGACTGTTTTACATTTTTGCTGCTGCCTGCGGCGTTGACGACACGTAAAATGCCGCGTTAGCCGCTGAAAATTGTTGTAATCTCAGCACTTAGCCCTTGATTACACATGTAGGCACATAAACGTCATTGAGCGTGAGAATACGCAGGGCGACTGCTGCTTACCTATATAGAGTGTCATGTTCTTGTTTGCCTTGTCAGGGCGCATTTTCATTGTTCCGGCCATTTAGCGGAAGGACCGCGGAAAGATGGTCGATGGAAGCTGCCGTTGCACGGGGAAGCATCGTCAATTAAGGCAACTGTCGAGGCAAGAAACATCATCGATTTTTTTGTGTGTTTGTGTGTGTGCAAATATAGACACACGGCAGTGGATTCGCCGGTTTTCTCACTGAAAAATAAGTGCTGTATCAGGGACACCTACACACAGGTAGGTTGCCGTAACTTTTAGGTGGACTGTTCCCTGGTCCCTAGTGAATATTATTTTTTTTTTTACCTTACAGTTTTCGGCTATCTCTGAGCAATTTAACCTTATCTTGATAAAAGTGCAACACTAAATATACGACCTTGATAAGGTTAAACCCGCGCCCCGTGGGGGGACGTCCCCTTTTCTGTCCTTTTTCGTAGATATCTCCTAAACGGCTGCAGATATCGCCACCAAACTTTCATGAGCCCTCCGAATATCAATTTTACACATTATGACCACAAATTTTTCCACAGGCTATGAAAGCTGGGCGACAAATGACGTCAGAGTGACGTCATGTTCTCAGTTCTGCCATTTTCGACTCAAAAATAGGTTTAAATGCCTGTAAACGGTGAAAATGCGACATTTGACTTGACCTGTGACGTCATCGGTTGGACCGAGGTCAATGAAATTGGGTCACAAGGTAGTTCCCCGGTGGGGCTATCGAACGCCGTTTGGATTTTAAAAATCGGCTGGTAACTTTCCAATATCTTTGGGGGGGGGGGGGCGTTTCGCCCCCCCCCAGCCCAAATGGGGCGCGGGTTAAGCACTTACAACTCTGCAAGAAGGTGCTGGCTGCTGGGTTTTAATGAGCAATTCTGATAATATTCTGCATAAGAGACTAACATGCTTTTTGGTCAATATGACATCGGTGATTTATAAATCACTCATCATGATTGATGACTTGGGAGTGGTGGATCAGATGCCAAGAAACCTGCCTTGAGTATGGTATATTTTCCGGTTCTCGGTAGCCGCCACATTTTATTTCAGAAACAGTGCAATGCATACATGTGTGTACATGCTAAAAATGCGCTAATGCGCTGTGCGTTACGCTAGCGGTCGCGACAGCGCAGGTTTACCGTGCCGTCCGGCCGACTGCCCGTCTTATGGACTCGGCGACCACTGCACCGCAGCTGTCAAAGCACAGGGAAACTGCCGCCCCATTGAACCGGAGGTCAACCGGGCGGACGGGCGCTTCCTCGAGCCGCGGCGACCAGGATGCGCCCCGGAGCGGGAAGTTTCCCGGTGTGACCGCCGCGGCGCGCCGGTCACTGTGTCACTGTCACTGCTCAGTGGCCGACGTCCCTGTCACTGCCGGTATACGTTTCCAGACGGCACCTAATGGACCGGCCGTGACACC